GAACCAGCAGTTAGCGTAATGGCTATGTCGCTGGACTCCCACGTAGTGGACCGTGGTTCGCGTCCTGGACCCGGTGGCTTAGAACTCACGCCGGGTGCGTGTGCGTGCGTGCCCAAGATCCCGTGAGGTGAATGGAGGAGAAGGGATTGCGGCGTGACCATCCCATCTAGGGGGTGATTTCTCGCTCTCTGTCTCTCTGTCTCTGTCTGTCTGTCTGGCGAGCACACGCGCCCTATAGCAAAAACCTCTCCAAAAAAAAAAAAAAGGAAACTGAGACAATGGTAGAGTCAGAGCTTGAGGCTCAGGTCCTTGGCTCCCCACAAAGGCTTTTTTTAAAAAAATAATTATTTTATTTAATTTTAGTCATTGTCATTATTAGTATTTTTTTTTAAGTTGACCAGAGAGAGACAGAAAGAAAGAAAGTGAGAAAGCAAGCTGCCAGGTCCGGGACTTGAACCACCATCAGCCATGTGGGAGTCCAGCTGCCTTAACCACCATGCCACCAAGCCGGCCCGGGCAAAGGCTTTTTTTAACCCCAGCAGAGTATTTTATACTCCAGATGATGCATACGTGAGATAAGCATTTCCTCACTGTAGGCACGTGAGTCTGATTTTCAACATCGCCAATGAGGAACTTCCTTGCACATGACCCTCTGAGTACATGAGATTATTCTATCAGAGAGAATTCTGGAAGTGAAAGTGCTGAGTCGAAGGGTATTCCACTCTAGGTTCCTCTAGAAGGGAGTTCCGGGATAGAGAGTCAGATGTAGTATATTGAGGAGATTTGAGAAACGTTAATATAGATACAGAGAAGCAGGAAAGCAAGGGTTACTAGAGCTCAGTACCAGAGGCAAGGGAGCTGGGGTATTTATACTGGTGTAAATACCCTAGCTCTGATCAGTCAGTGGGTAAGGACGACTGGGATGCAGAAATTAATTCCCCAGCACTTCCAGGCTACATGGCAGCTTTGGAAAAAGATACTGACAACTATGGGGTCGTTGGAAAAGTCATGATGTATTTCAAATGAGTCATGACTTTTCCAACGACCCAAGAGAAGTCAACAAAAGTCCACTGAAAGGTGTGGTCCAAAGATTATGAACAGAGCCCTAAAAATATCTGTCGGCAAGATAAGGATCTTAAAAAATTTTTTTATGCTATAGGGCGTGTGTGCTCACCAGAAAGAGACAGAGAGAGAGAGAAAGAGAGAGAGAGATAGGAGAAAGTAGCCTCCAAAGAGGATGGCCATGCCACAATCCTTTCTTCTCTATTCTCTTCTTGGGATTTGGGCCAAACACCCACACTCTCCCAGTGTGTTTCCAAGCTGCCGTGCCCGGGACTCAAACTGTGAAGCTGGCCATGTGGGATCTAGCCATGTTAACCATCATGCCCACCACCTGGCCCATATCTTTCTTTTTACATTTTGTAAAAATATATTTCTTTCACGAAAGAGGGAGGGGAAGAGAGACAGAGGCAACCCTGAGAAGGTCTTCGTGCCACAATCCTCCTCCCAGCCTCAGCCAACCGGGATCACGGGCACACACATGCCTGCTGTGTACAGGGAGACCTCAGGCAGTGAATCTGGAACCTCCTCACATGGCTCTAGCATCATAGAGTGCTAAGCCACCATCCTAGAGTGCTGGCCTGGGATGAGTAACTGAAACACTGATGGGTTTCCAAAACACCCTCTCCGGTTCTACCGAAATACACTCCCACCAGGAATGGAAAACAGTTCTCCTGAACTCACAGCAAGGCTGGCATGAGAAGTCTTACTCAGACCAATTAGCAACAGTAATCTCCTTGTTAAATTGCAAGGTCTTGATTACAAATTAAGCGCTCTTTTCATGTGTTAATGGCCCTTTGTATTTCTTCTTTGAACTGCCAGATTTTCCAATTAGAATGAGGGTTTTTTCTGACTGTTTTGTAGCAGCTCTCTATGTAAGGCCATCCATCAGCTCTATGTTGGATTGAGTATTTCCTCGTCTCGAGCTATTTTTTAGAGAGATTTTTGCTATAGGCACAAGTGCTTGCTGGACTGCTGGAAAGAGAGGGGGGTTGGCTTGTGGCGTGTGATTGTGGTGCTAGACTTCCACATGGCCGACCCTGGTTCAAATCTTGGACCTGGTGGCTTGCTTTCTCACCTTCTCTTCTCTCCCTTTCTCTCTCTCTCTCTCTCTCTCTCTCACACACACACACACACACACACACACACACTGTTCCTCTCTGGTCAAATTAAAATAAATTAATTAAAAGTTAAATAATTATTTAAAAAGAGAGAGAGAAATCAGTCCCCAGCAGAGATGGCCACACTGAAATCCCATTTCCTACATTCTGCTCTTGAGATTTTGGACACACACACACACACACACACACACACGCCAAGTGTTTGAGTTTCAAACTGCTGGTTTCAGGACCTGACCCAGGATCAGCCATGTGGGAATCTAGTGCCTTAATGACTAT